ATATATATATATATATATATATAGAAAGAATTCGATAATTCTCGCTACGACAGAGTTAAACCATAAATAATTTGATCAAGGTTCAGATAAATTCCCATTAAGTTATTTTGTCTTTCTCCAATGTTCTAACACGTTTTTTGTTTCGTTTCAAAATAATTTAGTGGCTCGTCTTGAGAAACAAATTGGCACGTAGGGTGGTGGGAAAAAAGTTTGGTGTAAAAGATACTTCTCCTTGGACGAAAAGCGTGCAGAAAAATCACGAGAGCCACGTGTGGGTGGCATTGTGGGTCAGCTCGCCTACGTCTTGAATACGAAGAAGTTGAACGCTCATTCGACGACGTTGCCTTACCTCGAGAGCGCTCGATAGATCGAAATGAATAACGATGGGAAAGGAAATCGGCGATAGGACGCGCGACAGTCTCCTGTGTCGTAGATAAAAACGACAATGTGATCTCAATTACGTTCCAAGCGGACACGCGATTGATAAAAAAATTGATAAAAATTACACGAATGAGAAAGTAGCAAATCGACATGCAACATTCAATGAATATATATTTTTTAACACGTTGATACACGGTATACCGATGGGGAATCGAAGATTAGTAAAAACACATAATTCGAGTAAATATACAAAAAACACTTAAAAATAATATTAAAAATTATAATTATAATTATAATATTATAATATTAAAAATTATAAAAATTTTTAATATAATAATATAAAAAATTATAATAATATTAAATTAATATAATATAATAATATTAAATATAATATAAATTAATAATTAATATAATATAATATAATAATTAATAATTATATTATAATATATTAATATTATATTATATTAATATTATAATATAATATAATAATATAATAATTAATATAATATAAATATAATATTAAATATAAATTAATTAATATAATAATATTAAAAATTTTTTAATATTAGCTATCGTTGCTACAATAGTGTGGAGAAATTAATACAGTACGAAGCATACAAACATTATTTATTTATAATACGTAAATATTGTTCGCGCACAAAAAGAAAGAAAAGGTAAATGAATATGATACAGACTTCACAATATGTGACGACTTTCTTGGTACAATTTTCTGCTTTTGCTCTACCTAATTGTTTCGAATTTTTTTCACGACATCTACAAAATTGCCACCCGAGCCTGATTTTGACTTTTCCTGCCATTTTTGTTTCTTTTTTTTTTTCATTTCATGGTATAGTTCTCACTTGCACGTGAAGAAATGCAATTCGCGGAAACAAAATATCGTAAGAAATCGGAGAAATTGCATTCCAGTGCCGTGGAAAGCAATTTATTATTATTGTAGATAATGTAATTTCAATGTAATACCTATTGTATAATAAGAAATTGTATAATAAGAAATTCATCGTGTTAGGAGGTTGAAGAAATAAGACGAGAAGATCATAGGATTTCAGTTCTTCTCTACATCTTTATCAACGACTGCTACGCATGGCCGCTCGACGCATGTAAAAAGATAATAATAAATTATCGTCTCGCTCGTGGAACGGGCAGGATGGGAAATTAGATGGCCGGGATCGATACGTGGAAAATACGTAGCTGCCACTCGACTCGTTATCCGAGTTCCGAACGTTCTGTTTCGAAAGCTCGTTGATAAAAGCGTTGGTAATACGTGCAAGATTTACGAGACGCTCTTGTCTAATTACCTCGACGATATCTTGGAAACCTCCTGAAACAGTACCAGACGAGATAGATGTTATTTTTCACTATTTTTCACTATCATTATTATTACCATGTTTTTCATTAATTCCCGTTTATTCTTCTGTTGCAGGCTCACGTGGTGTCTGCCTTCGAGCAGTCATTGTCCAATATGACTCAACGTTTGCAACAATTGACTGCGACCGCGGAGAAGAAAGTAAGCATTTAAGCCTAATTTCCTCGATCCTTCTTTCAACACGTTCGAGACGAAGCCAAACGTGTATTTTCTATATTTAATAAAAATCAAGTGTGTTTCTCAAACTCGATAAAGTGTCCGATACCGGCTAAACGAATATTGTAAGCGTCGGTCCCGAGGGACCGACGCCAGCCGAACGAATGACGCTGCGTCGGTCCGCAGGGACCGACACACCGTCTCGAACGTGCTGAAAGATCATCAGCGTGGAAACAATATCGCGCCGATCGAGTTTCAGTCAATTCAGGTAGAACAACACGTCTCGCTGTGTTCAAGCATGAACTCTCCGACGGTACGACGGCAGGGCAAAATTTAGAAAAAAAAAAGAAAAAAAAAAGAAAGAAAGAATGAGCACTTTCGTCTCGGTGGATTAATTTTCGATCGACTCGAGGATGATGCAGTCGCAGTTCTGCACGCGACGAGAATGAACGATCGTTCGTGAGCTAACCTCCCGTCGCGTAAGTCGCAACACCTGTCCCCGAAGAAACTCTTTTCCAAATTCAGTCGCGATGCACGATGCGAGTCAGAGCCCCGAGAGAACGATCGATCGCGTATCGCTACGGAAGTCTCGTCGAAGGCTGAGCCGGCCGGCCGACGCGAAACTCGCGCAACTGTTGTCCGCTTATCCCGACAACAAGGTGAAGATATTGAACGGCGTGACCGTGATGATCCCCGTGCCGGTAGAAGACGCGAGGGCTCTCGGTCTTCGAGTGCCGGAGGAGTCCGACGGCCTCAAATCGAACAGAAGCTCCGCTCGCCTGTCCACGTCCAAGGTTAAAAAGAGAGAGAACGACGACAACGAGTTCAACAGGAGGGATGTGAAACGTTGCCAGAACGTGGACGCGAGGAGAGAGGAGAGATCTAAGAAACTTCCGAAGAATCTGAAGGAAGTGCGGAAGGCCCAGCGAAACACCACGGTGGACAAACTGAGTAGTTTGCAGGCGAAGTTGGAACGTGGTCTGAGGAACATCTCGAACAAAACGAGAGCACGGCCGAAAGTTCGCTCGGATGCGACGAAGGATTTCAACGCCCTATCGAACGTGAGCCCGATGACGCGCGGATCTAACCGGCCGATCTTGACGATGAGGAAAAATCCGTCGTCCTCGCGGGAAGACAAGTACCAGAGTAAAGGACCGAGCTCCGTATCCACGAAGCAATTGTTCAGCTTGACCGAGTCGTGGAGCAGCGACTCCGTGATCAGTCGTTCGGACAACTGTGCCTGCTGTCACGGCCAAGAGCCTTGCCCGCTCCACGAGAAGTGAAACAGTGAAACAACACTGCGAATTCGGAGAAGATCTCGCGCGATTTGCACTAAGAAGTGTCGAAGGTTAGAATCCGAAGTGAAACGAGATAGATTCAAATTGGGTATTTTTATTATACTTCGAACTCGTCTGCATTTCACGGCATAACGTTCGACTCGTATAAACGATCAGTCGCTAATGACACGCGGAGGATCCTGGAGGATCGAGGAGACACGTACTATTATCTGTTCGTAACTTTCAGGATTCGGAGCTTCAAGAGTTACGAGAAACGATCGAAAGGCTTCGAAAGCAGAGCGCCGAGGCTGGCTTGAACAACGGTCCACCGGCGAACAACGGCCGCCGTCACACCCTCGGCGATTCCGATTCGGGGACAACCGGCTGCACGGGGAACAGCAACCACCAGGGTGCCTCGATGGCGAGACAGCTGTCCGCGGACAGCGTCACCTCGTTGAACTCGTTGAGCAGCGCCTGCTCGGCCAGCAGCCATCACAAGAAGAAAGGCTGGCTTCGTAGCTCGTTCTCCAAGGCTTTCTCGAGGTCGCGGAAGAACAGGCACGGCTCCGTCTCCGACGCGGAGGATTGCAAGGAGACCGCCGGCGGAGACCTGAGCGCGCCGAACAGCCCCAGACTGCCGAGCGCCTCGAAACACGATGCTTCTCAGGGCCAGGGTGCTAGAAGCAACGGGCAGAAATCGCCCGAGGTCGAGAATCCACTGACCGGTAGCAAAAGCAGCTCGGCTTTGTACAAGAAGGAGGACGAGGATGTGGTGGAACTGAAGAAACAGCTGAGAGAGAAGGATCTCGTGTTGACGGACATCAGGCTCGAAGCTCTATCATCGGCGCATCAGCTGGAATCGTTGAAGGACACCGTTATCAAGATGAGGGTAAATCACATATCTTTCTGTCCTTGCTTACTTCTTCACTTTCCCTTGTCCCACAATTATTTACTTGTTCGTTTGCAGAACGAGATGCTGAATCTGAAGCAGAACAACGAGCGTCTACAGAGACTGGTAACGTCGAAGTCGTTGACGTCGTCTCAGTCGTCGCTGCCCAGCGATCCGGACAGACGCTTCAGCATGACGGAGGTAGCGTCCACCGTTGCTGCGCTTTCGAACGGCGACACCAGTACGACGGCGGATCAGTTGGAGGATTTGAACGTGCCGGAGCATCCGGTGGTGCCGTCGACCACTTCGACCACGGGAGAACCAGCTTTGGAACAGGACACCGACGGGAAAAGGATCAACGTTGCTATTTACCTTGGTAGCGAGAAAAATTTCAACTACAATCTCGTAACGGGGAGCACATCCGACGGCAGCATCGGTGAACCTCCTCACTGCATCATCGCGAACGTTTGCATCAGCAATAAAACTACGTGGGATTCCCTTGATTCCACCGTGAGGCGATGCTTCAAAGAGTACGTTTCGAGGGTCGATCCTGTGACGAACCTGGGCCTGGGTGTCGAATGCGTTGCTGCCTATCATCTCGGAGAAGCTTCTAGGTACCTGTGTTCTAACGAACCATATTTTTCACTGGCGCAACATTTATAACCAAAAACGTTTATAACGTTGTGTTCTTTCGACACAGATGCACCACGGATTCTCAGCATCCAGAGTTGCTTCCTTGCGGCTACCTGATTGGCCACGTGAAGACCATTTACTTGGTGCTGTCCGGTTACTCGTGGCTCGCCGTGGATACTCTGATACCACGATCCATTGTGCAGCGACTGATATCTTTATTAACTGAACATCGTAGGGTCATTCTGTGTGGGCCCAGTGGTACTGGCAAGAGTTATTTGGCTGGGAAATTAGCTCACGCTCTGGTCGATGCCGACAACGATACGAAGGATGCCACGGCGGTGGCCACCTTCAATGTCGATCACAAGTCCAGCAAGGAACTCAGGCAGTATCTCGCACATATCGCCGAAAGATGTGACTCGAACGCGGCTGACGAGCTACCGAGGGTGATCATCCTCGAGAACTTGCAGCACGCCGCGTCTTTAGGAGAATTGTTCAGCGGGCTGCTTGGCACTAGACACTCGTCTTGTCCAGCTATTATCGGTACGATGAGTCAGGCCACTTGTAGCACCACGAATCTTCAATTACATCACAATTTTAGGTACGCATCTTGCCTTCCAAGTTGATCTCAGCCGCGGCCCACTTGACCCATATCCTTATACTTATTTCCAGGTGGGTGCTCTGCGCCAATCACATGGAACCAGTCAAGGGATTCTTGGGACGTTATCTCAGGCGGAAGCTGCTGGAACACGAGTTGCGCGAGTGTGGCGGAACCAGAAACGCAGAAATGGCAGCAGTTGTCGAATGGCTGCCCCGGGTATGGTTACATCTGAACAAGTTCCTAGAGACCCATAGCAGTTCTGATGTGACGATAGGTAAGAACATCAAAGATACTTTGTTCCTAGATTTCAGTAACATCTATCGCATTGTATTACGTACGAAACGTGTGTAACTTCTAGGACCGCGACTGTTTTTATCCTGCCCGATGGAAGTAACAGGTTCTCAAGTGTGGTTTACCGATTTATGGAACTACTCCGTAGTGCCGTATCTGGTAGAAGCGGTCAGAGAAGGATTAACACTTTACGGTAGACGCGTAAGTGGGAATGGGAACGGGGATTCCTCCTGGGAAGATCCAGCTCAATTCATCACTTCGAGTTATCCCTGGATTTCCACGCACGCGGTACACGGTGGTAGCGACGCGCTTCTTCGTTTACGGCCTGAGGATGTTGGCTATGATGTCGTCACGTCGGGACACGCTACCGGAGTCGGCGCATCTAGCGTGAAAAGCCTTGGTAGCACACACAGCGATACAGAAGGAGATCCACTAGTTAGTGTAGTATATTTTCTTTAACAAAGACAAATGACTCTGAAATTAATGTTCAACAAGTTTTCTTACTCGTTAAGCTCGTTTAGACGACGCTTCCTTCCTAAATTCTGCGATATGGTGATTAATTAAAATTGTCCCTTTGTTACAGTTGAATATGTTGATGAGGCTACAGGAAGCAGCCAATTATTCGAGTCCTCACAGCAACGACAGCGACTCGGTCACCTCGCTTGACTCGTCGCACACTCGACAGTCCGAAGATTTAAGTTCGTCGACATCTTCGTCAAGAGGCGTAGAATCAGCGCTTTAATCCAGCAATTTTACTGTCATTAATGAACACGAATAGAACCTCCGAATATAATCGTGCATCAGGCCAGTTTATAATATTCAGTTTGAAAGATAACAATTTATATCTATTTGGATGTATAAGAGTAAATGCGTACGAAAATTTGAAAAGAAAAAAAAAAGAAAGAAAGAAAGAAAGAAAAGAGAATCAAAAATAAATTTTGATACTTTTAGGATATGAATCTTCTTTTTCTAACTTTTTACGACGAAAAATATCAAACAAATGTTAAACGATTGAACTATAAGCAAAAACTTAGGGGTATTTTCAGCAATGCGTGATATGATACTCTTTATAAAATACGTCCTTCCACTTGCTCTTGTACGAGGCGACGATGTGCATTATTAAAAGAAATTAGAAATTTTTCAAGAAAAATTTTTGCAATGCCTACAGCTGGCCTATATTTATTCTAGATTTTTACGTGCATCATGCACTTCGGTGTGATACATAATTAAATAAGAGACGAGCAAACGATACTTCTGTTCTTTGGATATACCGACGTATATAAACGCAATGCAATAATTTACGCTGCCGTTACGGAAGTACGAGTCTATTTTAAAGAGATACATTTCTATGATCAAATCAAGTACGATTAAGTGTAGCTTAACGCGGATCTAATCGAGAAATTTGGATGGAACATACAACAGTATTATCATAGGGCGTAAAAATAAAAGGCTTCGAACTGAGCCAAGATTTAGGATCGGGGAACCGCCAATCCTCACGTCCATTACGTACTTTCAGGTAATAGCTTATTTTATTCGGTATACACAGATCTCATGGACGGACCGCTCAACAGAGTATTGTTTCGCCTTCAGAAATGCAGCGCAGTTCGAAGTGAGTATGTACTGATGGATGTGCGTGCAAAAATAGTCTATTTATACATACTTTGCTACGAAAGCTCTATTTAATTAAAAAAAAAAAGTTTATATATATATATATATATGTATATGTATATGATATGTATATGTATATGTATATGTATATGTATATGTATACACACACAACCTAACGATGATGGCGCTAAATTTATGTTACGAATAAAGTTTATAATTAGCCAGTAAGATACGTGAGTAATTCTGGTCATGTAACATTGTAAATATAAAATACGAGTGAAATGTACGATGACGCTAGATGCAAATTTGACTCGAAGTCCCGTGGTAGCCTGTACAATCTCTTTTGGTTATGGCGTGTAAAATGTATAAAAAAGGAAAAGAAAAAAGATGAAAAGCAAAGGAATTGAATGCTTTATGCGTGCAACTTATCAACGGGTTACAACGTATCAACTGCCATAAGCCAAAAACGACAGAAAATATCACAGGCTACACCGATTATACATAGTGTACATGTTTGATAAGTCTTGAGATCGAGTTCAGATTTCGATCGGCATCGCAATGTCCATGAATACGAGAGAGATGTGCATGTAATAATTATACAGTCACATTTACAGGTTTTTTACGTTTGTACCGTATTTATACGCTGTACGACGCTGCACTGGACCTTTATTCAAATAACGATAATTATTATTGTGTCATCAAATAAATCATACTAAACTTTATACGGTCGAATTAATTCTATCGTTCTTTTTCACCAACTTCATTTTTTTTTCACATTGTACGGTACAATGTATGATCCTTGACACAGAAAATGTAATTATAAATTGAATAAACTTACATACACAGCAGTTTTATTTAGACCAAAGATATATACACGTACTGTACTTGTGCATAAATATTAAATGGTAAGTATTAAATAGTAAATACAAACAATCCAGCAAGATTTTTGCTAAGTCTTGAATTGACGAACTTGGAATGACATTAAAAAAAGTATAATTCGCTATTTAAAATACGAATGTATTCCTAATATCTCAGGCATTTAAATTGTTCAAATGCACTAAATATAAGCTACCGATGATCTAAAATAACATTGGAAGCGTATTTTTTGTTTTTTAAACAATATTCTACGACTGCATAAATAGTAAATAATCTTCTATCCATGGCACTTAAGTGGGCTTCTGTAACAAGGGGTTGAACACCAGCCATTAGCGATTCATGAGCAACAAGCCTCGTAAGAGCTATGCTCAACGAACCGCCACTAAATAATTTTAAACGATCCCAAGTAGTTTTATGAATCCTAAAATGAAGATAAAACTTTTTAATAATTTTAAAAACTTTTAATTTTAGATTTTAATGAAGTTTCACTGCATTCCTCGTTATATACAAAGAAGAGAATTGATACATATATATAAATACGTACATACAACACTGGTACAAAGGTGCTAAAATATCAAAATGATCTACATCAGGATTTCCAAGACTTTTCCCATTGTCAATTAACAATACAGCTGGATTATGGAAATTGTTCTGTGCTAATTCGTAATGGTGGCGATCACCGTTATCCATTAAAAAATCGAAAATCGCAGTGTCTACTAAATCTAAAAGTCTACTCGATGATTGTGGAGAATATGCTTTAGTGTCTTTTACCTAAAAAAAGAAAATCAAAAAATTCAGCGTTATTCTCAAAAACGAAAAAATAAAAAGAACTGACTTGTTGCATGCGTATATATCTAATGGACTTACTTTTTCACAATAGTTATCATCCGTTTCCCACATTGCAAGTTTGTTCTTTTTATATGTTCTCTGCCATGGATGGCGATGTTTTACGAGTCTTAAGTATCGCGGTAACCAAGAGATTAAAGCACCTTCTAAAATATCACCTACTCCACACACTGGATCCGCAGGAGAGCAATAATGGCAAACACCGTACAAACAAGTATCATTACCATCTTGATACATGGTAGCATAAAGTTCAGGAGTAGCACGCGGCCGAATTTCATTCCTTAAGTCAACTAAAAATGATTTAATATAAAACATTAAAGAATTGCACACCGCGATAAAAACATTACACGTACATATTTTTACTAGAAATCCCATAGAGACATACGTTTTCGTATAACAGTAAGCGGCACTCTTCTTAAGGCCAGTAAGGAAGATAAATGGAATGCTACTACTTCGGCATTGTGTCGATCTTTTCCATGATAAACAGGCCCTCGAATAATAGCGTCCCTGGAATACCACTGGGGCTTGAACATCGCTTTCGTCCCGTGTTCCAAGGTTAACATCAACTTCAATTGTGTACCAAGCGGTGCGTTATCCGCGCGCATCACTTTTGATTTACGCAAGATGTCTAAAATTGTTCCTAATTCGGGCGCAACCGGTGGTATTAATTGATGAGCATCAGGCCACTAAAAAGCATTACATAATTGTTAAAGGCAAGAAAAAACTATCGTCAATTTATCATTATTATTTGTAATATTATGGTACTAACATTGCTATTAGGAATACTCCATATATTTTTCTGAACAGCATTAGGCATTATTCTTAATTCAGTTAACAATCTCTCCAGTACTATCGCGTAGCTAGTATTTTGCTTAAAGTATTTCGGTGGTAATATCTGTATTTCCTCCCGGATCTTTTTCATCATATCCTTCGCAACTGACTTCTGCGAAACTTGTAAATTTTGTTCCGCTTGAGATATTAATTGCTCCTGTTCGGGCTTCAATTGCGAGATGGGCATGCCTTTGGAAGAAGTTTTGTGCGACGAGCTCTCTACAATCATTCGAATAAAATATACATTGACGCTAAGGACAAGAATCAAAAGACCGCCCAAAGCGATGAGAGCACAGCGTCGGCCAATCATCTGCGAACAAAATTCAAGGTTTTGATCGAATGATACGCAATGTAGATGGCGCGCTGTTATTCTACTTGGATATTATCACGACTCAGAACGACTCTATAGCTTCAAGATCAATCTACACCCACGCCATTTTCGTTCTTGCGAATTCTTTTTCAATATATGATAAATATTTTAATGCATATGTGCATCAGTTAGATTAACATCGACACTACAAAAACCGAGCCTCTAAATCAGATATGATTTTAAAATAAATAAAAAAAAAAAATTCATGAAACACGCATTGAAACATTGTATGTAGTGTGCGATATCATGGCACCATTTTAACGAACGTGTATATAAGATACGAATTGAATTCAGAGTACTGAAAAATTGTTTTACAAAGAAAAACATCTGTTTATATCACCTTTGAAAATTGGCCACGCGGTTGCTGTCACCTGATAATAAATGTTTCCTTCATGTTTTGACGAAACTTCTGCTTAGTCGCATCCAACTATGATGGTGCGGCAGGTATGCGACGCCATTTTTAACTTCAAACCAAAGTACTCACGCGCCGTAAAGCATTGCATTGGCATCACAAATTGTTGCGAATGAACATTTGCAACAAATCTCAGTTGGCGTGAAATAATTCAGAACATATTAAAAAATGTCGATTTCACAGTATTCTTTAATTTTGAAAACATAAATACAATTTATTACATTATACATGTATTAAAAACAAATTCATTTGAAACATCTTCTGTGACTTTTTTCTGCAACTACGTTCTGTATATACATTTGTGAAAAAACTGTATTATACATGCAGGACAAGGAATTGTAAAACAATAGTTGTAATCTTGAATTTATTTTATAAAAACATGTAAACTACATGGTGAATATAGTTGAATTAAATTTAGGCTATTACTCCAAATGGAGCAAGTTTTCCCTCAAAACGCAGTGGTGTTTGAATGGCTCGGTTCTAAGTCATTTCCACCTCTATAGTTACACTCGTACAAACATTTATGTCGATATATACATGTCAACATATATTTTCATTCCCTTCGTTGTCTCTCCCTTTCCCGAGCAAGTTCTGTTGCATAATTATAAGGCGAACCTCTCCTGTAATTGACAAGGAGTTAAAAGTCTATAGTTAACAACATATTTAAAAGATGACGTATACTACCTATCCCGATGACGATCTTTATCACGATAACGATCTTTACTTCTATCTCTGTGTGATCTGTCTCTGCTACGACTTCTATACTCTCTTTGTCTTCGACTTCGATCACGGCTGCTCGATCGTCTGCAATGTCGATCCCTTTCTCGATCTCTTTCTCGTGCACGTTCTCGTTCTCTTTCTCTCATACGATCTCGTTCACGCTCTCGATCCCTGTATTTGTCTTTGCGGTCTTCATCAGATCTGGAAAAACATTATTCGAAGGGAAGTAATGCGAAATAACGAATAACGTTTTAAAAATATCAGCCTGTGCAAGTGCATACATATGTTGCACTCATTCGTAATGAAAGATATCAAGAAATTATTCATCTTGAACACCTCGATATTGCATATTTGTGTAGTTTCTAGTATTTTATGTACATTTGAAGACCTTACATTCCTTGATATCCAATATATAAAAAAGATTAGTGTACAGTTATCGAAATAATGAATATCGAGATGACTTCTAAATAATTCGAAGATTATTTAACTTGTGAATGTTTGTCTTCGAAAGAATTCAATAAATTCAATGATACACAGAATCTAAGTAGCGTATATAAGTATAAAAACAAGTTTATTGCGCTAAATTTATAAAGCGAGCGAATAACTGTACAAGAATCAAATAAGAACATACACATGTACTAAACAAAACTGAATGATGATACACTGAGATCAAGAGTATTTTCCTGGAGATGGTACGTCTTTAATCTTCACCCAATTTCCCTAACAAGTTCATAGAATATTATTAACCTTATATAAATTAGTAACGTGATTGTATTCATACCACGTAGACGCACCTGGCTCGCCAGTGGCTTGTTCTTTCAGCCTCACCCCACTGAGCTTCACTGTCTGGGATATGTCGCGGTTGATTCCGTGAGGTGAGATTGCCGTTATCTTTCCTACTACTGCTATTACTATATTTTCCGTGACTATTTAAGGTAATAGGTGGTTTTGCATTTCTGGCGTTCATAGACTGTTGAGGAAATCTTTCTGCTAATCGATGCTCGAGTTCTTTCTGTATAGGCACTGGTATTCTTGGAAATAAGGTTGAAAACCACTCTAGTTTAGTAAGAAATTGTTTGAGAATATCACCCATCTTCATGACTTGTCCTCCACCAGCTTTCACATCCAACTCATCTTCATCTTCTAAATAGTCACTATACCAATTAAATAAATCTGCTGGTGGTTGCGTATATCTGTTAACATCAACAATGTCGAATTATTAAAATATTTAATACCTCTTTAAAGTGAAATTTAATGTCACACTATTCTTACCTAATATACATAAATCCCAATGCCCGAATATATGGTGAATCAAGATGATTGATAAGACCATTTAATTGTTTCCTTGTTAACCTCAAGGTGAAGAGTTTATATAGTAGACAATACGCCGTTGAGACAATTCCACCAGCACCAACTCCTCGGACCTGCATGAACCGCTAAATTTACACCCCCCTATGTCAATTAATCACATTCATATTACATTATAATTTATTGACCGAGAACATGCTACTCTGCAATTAAGTATGGCATTAAGTGTGTCTGCTCATTATCTATATTCAGACCAGTTTAAGTCTTTATTTTGACCCTGATATCTGATTATGTGATATCAGCGACAGCCTAAGACTTAGAGCTCTCACTTTGAATGATTTGCTTTAAATGATTTCACCTTTTTTATTTTTATTAGCAGTTCTCATTTCATAGAGTGTCCAGGTCCTCTAAAATGCTATAAATTTGGACTGTTTCTATATACGTGACGTCTCTATGACTGTCTTAGTTTTAAATGTCAATAAATAACAATTGCAAATGGATAACATACAAGAAAACATACTCACACCTCCACACATGCCAGTTTGGCCCGCTGTTTTCCGACTTCCTTTCTCCCATGGTTCCAAATGAGACACCTTGTAGTAAATTTCATCAATAACTTCATGGTATGTTTTCAGTTCATATAAATTCACTTTGAAATAATGTGATGACTGTATATTTGTTAAAATTAACGGATTCAGATTCATTGTTCTTTCATTTCCCCATAGAGGTAATATATTCGATTTTTTACCCTCCTTTTGAGCTGGCCGACGTTCTTCATCGCAACCACTCGAATTGTTCCATGGTGAACCTGTGTACAAGTGTTTTATTTCCTATATATCTACCGGATCGCTACGTAATAATGATCAACATATATGATCGTGCAAAAGAGGTTAAGTGCATCGTGATGATCACAATGAGCTGGAAAATACCTCTTTTGCTCGAACATTATAAAATGCAAGGAATTAGAAAGAAAAACGCGTAACAAATGCAATACACGCTTACCATCAGCTCCTTCTGCTTCTTGCACTTGCATGTTTGTATCGTACACTTTTAACAAGTAATACGATGAAATTTTCAACAGATCAAACTCACCATACAAACGTTTTATTTCACACAAGATTTACGAAGTTTACAAATACAACAGAAAATAGATATATCTGTGAGAAAATAATTAAATACAAACTTTTAAAGGTCGCGTAACGCGTTTTTTTGCAAGTATATGGAAAATTGACGTCAGTGAGAAACGGAAAAAAAAGTCACAATACAGTAATGCGCATGCCTAAGAAATGTATACATCCGGTTTCATTTGCATGTGTATTATTTTCATTTACATTTACACATGTACGTAAATAACCAAATTGCCATTTCGATTTCTGAATAGGTAATGAAAAAATAGCTGAAATAGAATTAAGTAACAATTTTTGCAAATCTTAATAAACGAACATTATGTCCCATATTATGTCCAATTAATACTTCAACGAGTACTTTGAATTGCACATGAAAGTCATATAAGATCTTTAAACGCACTGTTTATAATTAAATTATTCTTTAGTCTTCTATTATAAGAATGTAAGAAACTATGTTTACTGTACGTTTAAGTACAGAGATTTTTACACTCTTTCTAATATGAAAAACGAACGTATGAACTTCTAAACATTACAAGTTATTATAACAGAAATACAATAACAAAAGCATAATATTTTCCCTAGAAAAAAGCACTATTACTAGGATGTGGCAACATTTACAAATTCAAAAATAATATGTTTCGATGAATACATGTTTTCACTAAAAATATACTTCATTTAAAATTATATTTAATTCATTACAATTACAATAAGCTGATCAACATTACATTGCACGTAGTTGATAAGGCTACACAAAAATTATTGTTGAAACTAAAAAACATAAAAATATTGTCATTTGTATGTGTATGAAATATATATTTAATTTGTATATAGCTAAGTTTGTATATATGTATGTATATATAATTTTATTTGCGTATGTATATATATCTATATATATGTAATATATATTTAAAAACATAAAAAATTAATTATGAGTTTAAAAATTACTATTAAGATGTATCCATAAAAATTTCTAGAAATAAGCAGATGAATAATTGTACGACGATCAGCTGGGTTTGTTATATTCACCATATGATATTAGACATATGTCACATGATGCACATGTTTCTTGAAACGTCAATGCAACGTTGATTCTTATACGATTTTTAAGAACTATGTGAATTCCATGACAATTAAATTGTCTTTAATATGTTTAGAACATCTAATTTACACCGAAAATTACATTTTCGTAGAGTGTCATTTGTAGCATACTATTTGAAAATGTTTTTCAGTATAAACATGTAGGTTATTTTGAATATTTCAAATAATAGTTCACATGTTAACATATGTATATTATAATAATATAAACAGTTATATAATCATAAAACAAAGCATCAAATTTATTAGTAACATTTAATCTTATGAAAATCATGTTAAAATTTAATCAGTGTAGCAAAAAATCTTTTCATCATATACATTGCATATCTTGTTGGGAATTTATGCAGATAAAGAGATTCAAACATCAACATGATATAAATGTATGTTTTCTATTATATATTAATCATGTTACATACTTTTACATAAAAATCATATTAAACTATTTACTAGTATTTCTAAATTTCTAATAAATACCATTTTTTTAGTTTTTTGCAACCATAACGAATATTTCTGTTTAAATATAGAACTATTTATAATTATAACTACCCTAGATCTAAGTAATATTAAATAAGCTTTATATTTTTTATTGCATTTTAAGAAATACTACCAAATACTAGAAATTGCAGAAGATTGTGAAGATGAAATCCTCAAACAAGCATTCATTTGCCAAGTGAAAAGATTTCACCCAGATAGTAATACATCAGAAGCTGATGCAACCAAATTTTCTGAGGTAATCATACAATTATTGATAAAGATTATTTAGCACTATATGTTATTATTTAGCACTGTAATGTTATAAACTTTTTTCACAGATTGAAACTGCTTATAGAGAAATTCGTAAAGCCAGAGTAAAGGCTAAAGAAAACACTACAAATTTACCTGAAGTGGAAGAATTTGACATTAAAGTACATTTTTTAACTTAATATGCAACTAACTTAATACATTTTTTAACTATGTTTTATATTTTAGCATACAGTACCACAACATCGTCATTATTTGATGTATAATGTAGGAATTGGAACACCTAGCAAAAGACAAAAATTATACACAGTAGAAAAAGCTCAAAAAGCAGTTAACAATGTATTGGAACATAGATTAAAAAAGTTGCAAGCTGAAGAACGTAATACATTAGTTGGAATGGATAAACATCATGCTAAAGATATTAAAACACGCTTTGGTATGGATCGTTTAGTAGAAGACTTAATTCAAGAAGCAATGAATAAAGGTGAATTTAAAGATCTCCCAGGCATGGGTAAACCATTGAAAGAAAATACAAACACCCGAAATCCATATGTTGATTTTGTTACTTACAAACTAAATGAGGTATGATAATTTAACTTAAATTAAAAATTTACAATAATTAAAATGTGGAATTAAATTGTAGGTACTAATAGAAAATGGATTTAGTCCAGAATGGATACAATTATCTAAAGAAATTAGAGAAGACATACAAAATTTACGAAAACAATTAATAAGCGCTCGTAATAATTTGGGACATCTTCCATTAAACTACGCAGATGAAAGTGCTTGGAAGAAAATTGTAGATAACCTTAAGTCTGAAACAAAACGAATAAATAGTAAAATCGACAAATATAATTTATTAGTACCTATACTTCAGAAACAAATGTTTCATATTAAATTAGAGAAGTTTGCAAAAGAGGCACTTTCAACACCACCTCAAAAAACAGACACAATTACAAAATATAATTCGAAAAATGTAAATCCTGATGTTTCTACAGGGACAGATAGTTTATTTGGAATAATATTTTCAATTTTCAATAACAAGGGTTCGTAGAAAATATATTTTTTTATTAGAATATTTTAGTACATTTCTTTCAATTAAATTTGTTATTTCTATTGATTTATTTCTACTGGTATGAAAATTTAACACGTATAAAATAAAATAAGTGTATCAGATATACATGATACATAAAATAATTATATAATTCAGGTTAATAATTCCATGTAATAGAATTATCTTCGTTTAAATGTATCCTTTCGGTAGCTAAATGTTTTAACGCTAGTGGAAAAATACGATGTTCAGCTACTTTCACTCGTTCTTGAAGACTTTCTACAGTATCATGTGGCAGTACGGGTACTGCTGCTTGTTCAATAATTGCTCCAGAATCGATATTAGTCTGAAAATTATTTTTAAATACATAGAAAAAAATTTTTAATGTAAATAAAGATTTATAAATATAATATATATCATGTATTATAGTGTATATCATACCTCCACGAAATGCACTGTACATCCTGAAACACGTACTCCAGCTGCTAAAACATCTTCATGTGCATGTGCACCTTTAAATGATGGTAATAACGAAGGATGCACATTTATTAAAGCGCCACGCCATAGATTTACAAAACTATCTGATAAAATTCGCATGAAACCAGCAAGACAAACTATTTCAACTCCAGCGGCATTAAGTTCGACAGTAATCGCTGCATCAAACACTTCTCGATTGGGATAATCCGTGTGTTTAACGACCTATAATTATATATTGAAATGATTTGTGATGAAAGATGGAGAAATCAGTGAAATTTAAAAAATGACAATTACCACCGTCTTAATACCAGCTTTCTCAGCTCGTTTAAGTCCCTCAACATTTGGTTTATTAGATATTACTATAACAATTTCAGCACCAATATGTTGAAATGGATCTCGAGTTGCATTAATCAGTGATTGTAAATTGGTTCCGCTACCGGATATTAAAACACCAACTTTTTTTAAAGGCTTACTTAACTGTGAAATAACGTCTGGTATGTATCGTTTCATTCTTACTTCTAATGCCTCTTCAAAATTTTTGACATGTATTCTAGTTTGATTATCTGTAATATTTTAACATATATAATAAAAAATATTTTTTATAAGTGAAAATATTTTTAACAAAGTAACATTAAATAAAATTTACTTTTATAATTAGTTATATGTCCAATGATCTTTGGATTTTCTATTTGTAATTTAGTCAAGACTTCGTCCTTATTTTTTTCTGAACAAATTAAAATAGCACCAATGCCGCAATTAAATGTTCTTAACATCTCTTCTTTATTAATTCCTCCTATTAAAAAGATGCAGAAGTATTAAATAAATTTATGCATTAAAATTTGATTAACAGTTTTAATTGTTTTCTTACCTATAGTTGCCAACCAAGCAAAAATTGGTTGAATAATCCACGTCCGTGCATCCAAAACTGCTCCCATATCTTTTGGTAAAACTCTCGGTATATTTTCTGTCAGACCTCCTCCAGTAATATGCGCAAATGCTTTTACTAAATTTGTGCGCAAAACAGGAATTACTCCTTTTACGTAAATTTTCGTTGGTTCTAACAATTCATCACCTACAATAATAATAAATTTAAATAAACTATTTTATGCAAAAGAAATATAAATTAAAGGACACGATAAATACCGATTGTACGATTATTGTTAGAAAAAGACGCTATATCTGAATATTTTTTATCTGCCAATTTTAAAATTTTTCGAACAAGACTGAATCCATTACTGTGCACTCCATTTGATGGAAGGCCAATTACAATATCATTTTCTTTTATCTCATTTATTCGTGGAAGCAAATCATCTCTCTCAACTATTCCCACAGCGAAACCGGCTAAATCGTATTCTTCATTAGAATACATGTCTGGCATTTCTGCTGTTTCTCCACCAATCTAAATTCAATGTCTATATATAATATTCTTTTTTAAATTGATATATGTATTAAATCAAAAAATTGGAAAATAAATTTATTTTTACTTACTAATGAACATCCAGCTTTTTTACATCCTTCACTTATTCCATTTATAACATTACTAGCTACATCTACGTTTAATTTACTACAAGCAAAATAATCCAGAAAGAATAAAGGTTCAGCACCATGTGCAAGAATATCATTTACACACATAGCCACTAAATCTATGCCCACTGTATCATGTTTTTTGCATTCAAACGCTATCTGCAAGTTGGATATTATGCATTGTCATTATATCATTGTAACTTCTTATAATATTTACGTACCTTTAATTTGGTTCCAACACCATCAGTTCCAGATACTAAAATTGGATTTTTATAACCAGTAGCTTTTATGTCAAATAAGCCACCGAAACTACCAATTGAACCTATTGTACCTAAACGTTGAGTTGAGAAAGATGCTGGTTTAATAGCTGAAACTAACGAATCTCCAGCTTCTATGTCCACACCACTACTTTTGTATGTCAATTGTCCATGATGCGATATAAACCTGATAATATTCTTTAATTAAAACTTTTTCTTTTCTTTTGTATGATTTTCATTCATCACGATACCTTGCTATTCCTTTATGTGCTATATCTGTTCTAAATTGCTTTCCTTCAAAAGATATGTTTTGGGCGGCATGTGTTGCTTTAGCAGCAGCTGAAGCCAATGAAGGTGCTAAACTTACAGTAATTAAAACTCTTCCACCTAACAAATAAGCAATAAGACAAATATTACTGAGTTTACTTGTATATGTATTTATATATAAATTACCATTAGTTAATAATTCTCCTTCAGAAGAAATACTTGTTCCACTGTGGAAAACAAATTGATTTCTGTCACGTAGAATATCATTGACGCCTGTTATAACTTGACCCTTTGATGACGATACCGGATATCCTCGAGATGCTAAAATAACACCAACAGCAAACAGATTTTCTTCCCATACGATTTGAGATTCAACTAAAGAACCCTCACAACAAGCCTACATTAATATACACTGAATTAATTTCAGTTATAGTTTTTTATATTAAAACAAAATTACCTTCATAATATTAAATAAATCCGATTTTAGTAATGGTAATACTACTTGTGTTTCAGGATCTCCAAACCTACAGTTAAATTCTAAAACTTTTGGTCCATCTTTTGTTAACATTAATCCAGCATATAATACACCTATATATATTTTTTAAATAATAGGTTTTTGAACATTAAATTGTTTTTACAAAATATATTATAAATTTTAACATGGCTTTAATACAAACCAACAAATGGAATTTGTTCGTGTCTGAGACCATTAATAACTTTTTGTAAGATGTTTGTTTTCACTATTTCGTAATCTGCTTTGTTCAACAATGGACATGGGCAGTAAGCACCCATGCCACCAGTATTTGGTCCTGTATCTCCATCAAATATTCTTTTGTGATCTTGTGCAGGTGCCATTGGTACAATAGTTTTTCCTATAAAAAAAAAGAATTTCTAATTTAGTAATAACTTAGTCAATATGGATATGGATAGCATTAAAAATTGTTTCTATCATTCTACCATCTGTAAACGCAAGTACAGACACTTCTTCTCCTTCTAATAATTCTTCTATCACTATTGATTCACCAGCAGATCCAAATTTTTTGTTTGTTAATATTTCATCTATAGCTTTACATGCTTCTTGTTTATCTTTTGCTACTATGACTCCTTTTCCAGCTGCCAAACCTGAAGCTTTTACTACAGTTGCTGGAAAGGGTGCACTATAATAGATTAATATACATGTAATATCCTTCCTTACAATTTATTTATTAATAAAATTTTGTGATTTACTTTATTACAAATTCCTTTGCTTCTTCTGCATTTACAAATCCCTTCCATTTTGCAGTAGGAATCTTACATTTATCCATAAATTTTTTTGCCCAGTATTTGTCTGCTTCGATTTTAGATGCAGCTTTTTGCGGGCCAAAACAATTAATTTTTATATTTTTTAATTCATCTGCTAGCCCATTAGCCAAGTATTCTTCTGGGCCAATAACTACTAAACTTATTTTATTATCTTTGGCCCATGTTGCTACTTCCTATGCAATATAAAATTTAACATGATTAATTCATTCATGTAATTATATGGTTTAACTCATAAAATAATATATACCTTATTATCCTTAACATTTAATTTTATCAGAGAAACTTTATCAACTAATGAAATTCCACTATTTCCGGGAGAAACATAAATTTTATGTACCTGAAAAGATTTAGATACTTAAGTGAACATGTTTGTATAATATTGACAACACATTATATATAAAATACTTACGTGAGGAGATTGTGAAAGTTTCCAAGCAATAGCATGTTCTCTACCACCACCACCAATAATTAAAACAGTGTGCTGCATACTGCCTAAATAATATTAAATTTAATATTAATGATAATTGTAAAAGAATATAGCATGTGTGAAAAATTCAGATTATAAAATTTCGCATAATATTTGCTATTTATACATAACTACATACATTGTACACATGTACGAATATAAAGTTAAGTAGAAATAAAACATTTACAAAACTATTACAAGATTACTATAAGAGATATTATTATTAATACTATTAGTTATTATAAGTTATTTGTATAATATAATAAAATTATAACCTCCGTATTTATTATACTTCACGAAATTTTTGCAATTTTTTGAGATTATTAAACACTAAATTTCTTTTTATTTTTATTTTTTCACTGATTTCGTAATTTAATAGACAACAATTTAAAATTTATATAATTTAGTATTTGAATTGGTATGTGCATATATGTACTTCTTAATGCAACAGGTGGCAATCAAGCGAATTTGAAACGTTTAATTATATTTGCTCATACCAAAACTATGAGGATTTTAATGAATATTTATTGCTGCGGCTTAATTTGCACGACGAAGACTGCTTCTTTGCGGGGGTTAATCCTTTTTAACTCGTGTGTATGAGTTAACAAGCGATAACTTCTGACCTTTTAAAATAACTCGAGAGACGTTTAAAATATTATACCGCGAAACAAGTGTTGAGCAACAATACGAATCAAATGTTCAGATAAATTGTAATTTATTGTTTCGAAATATGAAACATGCAGTTCATTACTATAAGGTAATATAAATTTTTATAATATTGGCGTGTATTCTAGACTTCCGAAAATTATTTAGAATTGATTATATTTTTAATAAGTAAAAACATACGAATATTGCGCGAAAGGATGTCACAAACAAATTGTTTTGAAAGGGAGATAATAGGAAATAATTGTTGTTTATGCAAAATCAACGGCCATTGGCATTGCATATTTATATCAGATGTATGCGTCAGTGAAATATTATCGCTTGTTTCAATAAATTGTGAATTTTTAACCATATGATTGCATACTTGTTTACCACTTTGTTTTACATCATGTTTAATTCAAAAACCTAGCAAAGATTCTTTCGTTATTTCTATACTACCTAGTACAACATGATATTATCACTTTCAAAGTGAACCGATCGCCAGAGAATAGTTATGAAGTTCTTTCAAACGATGATATTTTGTTTCCATCTTAACTAAGAATTACACTATCACTACGAAACAAAATGATGGGAAGATTAGAGAAACAAAATATGCCTTTATAATCTCAGATGACATATATAAGAGGCTTTTCGTAAGACTTTTTACAAGTATGTTCAATTTCAACATTATCAATCATGCGAGCCGATTTTGGTCTTACACAATTGCACCTCTTCGACGAGGCATGTGTCAAAACAGTCGTTTCCCAAGCCACAGATTTCTGTCCAGTGCAAAAGCAGAGAAGCAACTATCTGAGACAGAAAACACTGTTAGCGCCGAAGTTGCCGCTGTGAAAGAATGCAAAACATCTACAAAAGTTAGCAACCATAAACGTTATAGTTATATTAAAAACTCATACTTGTTACTAGAAACTTTTTTCGTTACTAGAAACTTGTCTCTTTCTATGTCTCTACTAAGTTTTACTCTACAAGCTATAATAGCTTCCTTCTCTCTTTCTTTGATTCATCCTCAGGAACAAAAGGTAGTGGAGAAGCCAAGGTTGCAGACTGTTCGAGTATATCGTTGGAACCCTGAGAAACCAGATGTAAAACCGCACATGCAACAATTCAGCGTGGACTTAAATAAATGCGGCACAATGATATTGGATGTACTCGCATTAATAAAAGCAGAATATGATCCCACGTTATCTTATCGGAGATCCTGTCGCGAGGGAATTTGCGGGACTTGCTCGATGAATATAAATGGTGTCAATACCTTGGCTTGCATCACGTAATGCGGGAAAAAATACTTTTTTTGGAATAGTATAGTACATATACATAGGTTTAATCCTCAATTCGATTATTCGTATTTGTCCGAGTTTATAATGATCATTCAAAAAATTGTAACGAAGCGAAGACGTTTATGACGTCTCTTTACTAAAACTATGTAGTATCCTACTTTTTACTTTTAGAAAAGTGAAGGAATCGCCAAAACCTATAGTTATATATCCTTTGCCGCATGCATACGTAATTAGAGACTTAGTAACGGATATGGAACAATTCTTAAAACAATACCAGAATATTGAACCATTTTTGAAACGACCGGGAGAAGAAAATTTTATCGGTTTACGACAAATCCTACAAAGTCCAAAAGATAGAGATAAACTTAATGGTTTATATGAATGCGTTCTCTGTGGGTGTTGCACTTATTCCTGTCCACCGTATTGGTGGCTCGGTGATAAATTTTTAGGTCCTGCAACTCTTCTGCAGGTATATCATTTATTATATATATATATAAAAGATAAATTTTAATACACAGTACACCATGAAATATTTTTATCGTGTAGGCCTATAGGTGGATAATAGATTCACGTGACATGGGGCATAAAGAAAGGCTTAGTAAATTGCGCGACTTTTATTCCGTATATCGATGTCATACTATTTTCAATTGCACAAAAACTTGCCCGAAGGTATAAAGTGCATAGCATAGTATATCAATATAGGGAGTAATATAGGAATTAAGATGTTAATAATTGTATTGTTGTATGCCATTGTTATTTGAAGGGTTTGAATCCCGGAAAAGCAGTAGCTCAAATAAAAAGATTGTTAGCAGGACTAACTAAAAAGGAACGGCCCCAGATGGAAACTCCACTTCCAAATCCATGTAATGGAGAAGAACAGTATCCATGCAGAGAGGAATAGATAAAAGAAAGAAAGAACAACTAATAAAACATTCTTGATACGATTTGTAATTGTATATAAACCGGATTTTCTTATTACATACAAAGTTTTATTTCTATTAAAGTGAAAAATTATAAAGATAAGATTTCGCATGATGACATCTAGTCATTTTTTTGTTTTAAGCGAAAATTTCAGTGAAAAGAGAGCAAATGATATACTTATAAACTTTTAATAATTATAAGCGTACAAAACTATAAAACTACAAAAAATCATTTCTTATAATTACTATTTGTACATTATTTTGGTGCATATCAGTTACAACGTTTCTTTATTATATTTTTAATTTTATTATTAAATTTATGTATATTATGGTGTTTCAAAATTAAATCAGTTTGATATGTAATTATTTTAATTTGGCTTTACTATTAATTTAGTGAAAATTGAAATTTTGAAATGAATTGAAAATGAATTTCTATGTGTTTAAACTTATACTAATTATCATCGACTCAGTCAATTAATTTATATAATAAATGATAATTCATTTGCTATAAATAGATTAAGATTTAATGATTTTTTAAATAATAATATTAGTTAGGACAAAATGAAACTAACATTTCTAACTATAAGTCTAACCTTGGTCTTTTCATTAAATTTTGTTCATACTGAATACTAGTAGAAATATTTTTTGGTGCTACGTTTTCATCATTTTCTTTTGATAGTAAGATGTCGACAGTTTCTCGAAGTTCACGATCTTGTAACCAAGGATGTAGTAGAACTTGTTTGATTGTAATCCTCTTTTTCGGATTGACTGTCATCATACGTTTGATCTAAAAAAATTATATTATTTATTAAAAAGTAAAATTACTTTTGTCTGTATATTTCAGTTTAACATTTCATCAAATAACATTGTACCAAATCTGTAGCTTTGTTTGTTATGTGTCCAAATTTCGAAGAAGGAAAACTATAATATCCTCTTTTTATCTGATCTTGCAAGCTCATATTTTTGTCTTGACAGTTAAAGGGAACTGAACCACTTAAACAAGCATATAATATTACTCCTAAACTCCATACATCAACCTATTCAAAAATGTAAACATGGAATTTTATTTGTTCTAAATGTTCATTACATAGGCAAACATACTTGATTCGTATAAGAACCTCGTCCAATAGTAGATAATATTTCAGGTGCAACATACATAGGGGTTCCACAAAATGTTTTCATCATAGTTTGTGCATCAACTAACTTTGACAAACCAAAGTCTGATACTTTTGCTAATGTAATATCTGAATTGCTGGCTAATAATATATTTTCTGGCTATAAATATAATCAAATAATATCCATTTATTTTTAGTTATTATTAATTTTTAATTATTATTTAAACCAAAATATTACAAATATACATATATAAAACATGTACCTTCAAATCTCTATGAGTTATATCACTATCATGAAGATAACTAACAGCCAATACAACCTGATAAAAAATAACTTTTGCATGTTTTTCCAATAATCGTCCTCTACTTTTTATTCTTTCAAAAAGTTCACCACCTTCCATTAATTCTAGAACAATGTATACTGCTTTTGGGGTATCTACAATTTCTTCCATTCTGATTACACAGGGCTAAAAAGTAAAATGAATATTAAATACATATATATATTATTTTAATATTTCCGTTAATATATTAATATTAATATATTAACTTACATGTTTTAAAGCTTTCAATATTTTAACTTCATTCATAATTTTTTCAGGATCATTTAACGGGTGTTTTTGGCCATTTGTTATGCCACCAATCTTCATAATAGTTTTCATAGCAAATTTCTGACATACAATTTTATTAAATACCATCTTTACCTCCCCGCATGCACCAGATCCTAATTTACATGATACTGTATATTTATCTTTGAGTTCAGGGGGCAAGTTGTTGCTTTCAGATGTCGTTGTACTCATGAATACATAAACTGTTACAAATATTGCATGTATAATATACATAAAATATAAGATTTATAAAGGCTTATGACATATACATGCTTATTATATAACATAAATAATATTCACCGGTAACTATAGGTTGTGCCAATGATATTACGTCATTGCTCTCCAATATTACTTTATTTCCACGGCCTACTTTCTTTTTATTAACAAAAGTTCCATTTTGACTTAAGTCCTCTAAATATACTATGGCATCATTAGTATTACTAACAAATTCTCTAGTTATTTTGAAATGTATCTTACTCATTACACTAAGCCACTTTGGCTTTAATTCATTACTAGTTACACGAATATCACAAGACTCTGAGCGACCAAGCGTATAAACATCTTTGATCATTTCTGTAAAATTTACATTAAAATTTACAATAAAATTTACAATACACAATGTTAAATAAATATGCATCCTTACCCATTGTTTTAAAAGGCAATTTAATGGGACATAATCTACCCCATACAATCATCTTTTCTTGTGTTAATTCTTGCGACTGAGTCAAACATACTGAATCCGCATTTTGTGTGTCAGGTAATGTCAAAATAATATGTTCATCGTTCATAGTTATAAATTACTTGGTTTAATACAAACCAAAAATATTTTTCAACTACGTCAATATTCTAAATAATGAAAACTAATAAAACTAAGGAAAACTGCAATATAAACAAACTCAATCATAGCATCATTGATTGATCGTAATTTCTAATGAAATGATATGATACTATGTTTTAATACAACATGAAGTTTATGTTATGAATCCACAAATTTTAATTTCAAAAATATTCCATTAAGTTCTTGTAAGAATCACATTAAAGTAAAAGAAAATTAGATTACAGCTGCACAGCATGGGTTTATAACGTAACACACAATGCCAACAAGCACGTGAACTGTGTAGTGAATTTCAACACATTGTAAGTAAACTAGTGCATAAGAATTTGAATTCTTTATGTCGATAAATTAGGCATCTCCTATATCTATTTTCTAATAAAATGTATCTAGTCTTTTTTTAAGATTTAATACACTTTAGTATTATTGTAGTCATAAATGTGTTGCAGATGCTTTTATTATATTTTATTACAAGAACTTTTAGTTATGTGCTTGATTTATTGTACAAATTTGACTTATAAGTTTTATTGCACTTATACACAAATTGGTAAAATTATAGAGATTTTCAAATAATCCTGTTGAATATTACGTATATATGCATATGGAAATACTAATTAATATACATATTAATATATGCACGTGAAAATATACATATTAATAATATTGTATACAATTAAAAAGTAATATTTATATCATTAATATTTGTAACATTAAAAATGTTGTAATTTACAAAATGAGTATTACCTTTTGATAATTAAAAATCTAATATTATTAACGTACGTAATAACAATGCAAAGTAATATAAAAGTAATGTTAAATTAAAGAAGAAAAAAAAATCTATGAAATCAAACAAATTTTATTTAAACATATTGTAATCTATTGAAAATAAGTTTATCATAGTGCAAATAATTAATCACAGTATAAAAAATTTTTTTTATATTAGAGAACATAAATAGAATGCGGGTTGAATATAATAAACATTTTCCATATTGTAGAATTTAATTGACAGTATGAAATTATATATAGTTGGATAAAAAATTTGAATGTATCTATAATTTCGAACCGCAAGTTTGGGTATAATAAAAAGATAAAATTTAACAATCACTTCATAAACTGGCACTGCTTAAAACGTGTATAAAGTTCCTGTAGCCGTGTAAGAAATTTTATGTTATCTTTACTAGTTGTAATTATTGGTATATTTCTAATAATATTATTAGTATTATTATCACTTTAATTAGAATTTGTTATTTTGGCAACTTACGGTTCAACGGAAATTCCACATTTCTTTACATGAGCCATGACTTCACACAGCTTAATCGACATTATGTTTATCGTAATGTCACAATTGATTCACATATATTTTGTTTTCATTTCTTTACTGGCATTACATTTAACGATTGTAACATATATATACATATATGCATATGTATAAACACACACACATATATATATATATACATCGTGTATTTGACTTTACAAAAATTTATTTATGTATATTTACGAAAGTAAGAAAATACGAAACGCCACTAAGGAATTATTATTCAATAATAAACGTAAACATTTTAAATTACAGGCTTTTAGGTGTAAAGGGTGGGGCTAACTCTTGAGCAGGAGGAACAGGGAAGTTAAGTTTATAACTATCAATATTAAGGTAATAATCGTACAGATAATTTTTTTGCATTATGTATATGTGTAAATTAGTTTTTTTAGTTGTTTATTATGTAAAAGGTGAGCTGCATGTGTTTTCTTTATGTTCTTTGTATCAATGGATGGTACGTCAGTGGCGGTGGTATATAAACTTCATAGAGATGTGTGACTTTATCTTTTATTATCACACATACTCTGCCTCCCTTTTTCTGCTTAAGAATGGGTCAGGCTATATCCGTTTTTAGTGGCACTGTTTTCCATTAGCTTAATGCTGAGCATCGGTTTCTTTCTTACAGTGCTTACGGCTTCCCTAATAGAGAGGTAAGAAAAAAAAATTTATTCAAATATATTTATCGTCTGTTATTTTATTTAATAACATTTTGCAAAAACTCACCAGAATTAAATAAGTCTTTCCATTTGAATAATTGTTCATCTCCTACAAACACTCCTCTTGGCTTTTTCTGACACACCTCGCCACCTTTCTCTTAAATTCTGCATAACTTTCTCTCCACTCTTTCTACAAGGTTCCAATTAACAGTAAAAATTATTAAAAACATAATAATAATTTGAATTAGTACAATATAAAACATTACTCACGGCAGCATCCACATTAGCAGGACTTTCATCATTAGGATCTGCAAGCATACTAATAACACTTATGAGAATAGTCTCAACTGTGTGAACTGGTAACCACCGTTCTGATGCTTTTTCATAGCCCCACTTATCATCTCCAGGTTCATGCAAAATCGATATGCATACATTACCATTCTTTTCGACTGCAAATATAACATAATATTGTAACAACTTTTCTTTCTTCATATAAAAGCCTCTTAAAGGAAACTACTTACTGTTTGGATGCCATATTTCTGTTATGAATTTCATTCTTGGTGGCCTAAGTGGATATTCTTTTGGAAATTGTAAGTGTGCTTTGAAAAACCCACCTTCACTGAAATGTAAAAACATATTTGTAAAAATATGTGTATATGACATTCTATTTAATAAAGTAAATTCATAATATGAACATTTATTTTTATTCAAATAAGTTAACATCTTACTATAATGTGTCTGGAGGTCCAATAATGAGTACTTCCCACTGATATATGTCATTGTCATCTATGAGGCCTGCTGAAAACCCTTCTACTGGGTTTTTATTTAATTCTACGGGGGAAAAAACAAAAATTCAAATCAAATATTCATATTTTCAAATAATTTCTTGATGAAAATGAACTTGGAAAAATATTTTCTGTTAACAATATTAGTTCAAAGTGTTATATATAAATTTTTTTTTGAACATTAAATTTAATTAAAACTACTATATTCGGAATAATGAAGCGTTGAAACACTAAGTACATACATATGCTTGGAACAAAAAGCACAGAACCGTTTAAAAATACGTACAATTGATCACAATTTGAACGGACAGTAATGAAAACAGTAAAAAAAATTTAAAGAAACATATATGTGCACAAAGCTGTGTTAGTCAAAAGAGCACTTTTGTTATTCAACGATGTATAGGTTAGGTTAAATTCAACGTACTAGTGACCATCAAACACCCACGAATTAACGAACAACGATGACACGATATTCCATACAAAATTCAACGACGAACATTAGCGAACGACGATGAAATCACGATATATCGTGAAAATAAATTTTAAAGGATTTTGTTGTTCGAACGTTGCGTCAGAAATAATACAAAAGTTACGGTTCGAAGAAGATTGACCTTCGGTGATCGTTGTACGGCATGGTTTTCTCGGTCCTTTTCTTTTTCTTTTTCTTTTTTTTTTTTTTTTTTTTTTTTTTAGTCGAAACCGCGTTGTATTTAGTGACGCGCGAAATGCTATAAATAACATTGGCTCCAATTATTTTCGGTAACAGCGTAAACGGCCTCCGCTACGCACGAAAATCATCCGTAGGAGAATTTAGACCAGACTCAGATGCAACTGCGAACTAAACGCAATATTAAATGCTAGGTTAAAGTTATTCATGGGAGGCACACCACGGTTCCGTAGCCGTATTGATTTTCACGCCCTAATCAGGCGCAGGGCCATCGTGAGATTACGGAAGGCTCAATCGGTGCTCACATAAAGTTACAGAGGTTTCAAGAAACTGATATCGCAGCAGAAAAAATGTTCACAAAGCCGATCTCGAGGGTCGAAGCACAGCGATGATGAGATCGCACGAGTTTGGAGTACGGGAACGGTTCCGGCTTTTCGTTCAGCTCAAATTTGAGGCACGGATCACACTTAGCACCCATACTAGTTTTGCTGGATACCTGCTAATTGTTTTCGTAGTAGAAGCGCGGACTGTGGCTCTGACATTAATAAAAGTTCCGTTAAATAAGACTAAAGCTGAAAACAATCACTTTTGCTTGACTGGAAAGATGGCTAGGTACGTCACGGAAGCAGTGACTGCGCATGCGTTACTGCTTAAACATATGTTCTTCCGTCTTTTCTATGCGCCGGTCTGATTAAACAGCCACGCTCTCTGCTGGATTTCTGGTAAATATTACAGATCTTTTTGTTACCGATAAGTAATTTCTGACACCGACGGGGTATATGAATAGACATTACACCTTACGAACTTTCGTGGCCCGTGATCTGAAATACCGACGTACTAAAAAATCACTGATTTTTTACCGCATTCTACGTTTACACAACGATGAATTGGGAAACTAGTGAATGAACCAGCAATACGATCTTTGAGAGCCATTACAGAGTTGTCAAACTTTCCGAACAATACCGAAATGTAAAGCTCGTCTGTGACTATACCAAGTAAAATGATATAAGCAAAATGTTTAATTGTATTTCCAGATTCCAAAACACGATTAGTATTTAAAATTATTCTATTTTTTATTATGTATTTATGCCTGTGTCAGAAAGAGTTCCATTTGTATTTTACGAATTCATCGATTGGTTTTTCGTTGGATAAAATACTTGTAACAGGATGTTTTATTTATTGAAGTATACGTAGGGACGAAATATATTTAGAGTGGACTTGATATTTAATCAAAAAGGAGACACAGAATAAGTCTATTGCATTTTGTTAAATCATATGTTTTGAAATGTTCATCAAAATCCAAAGTCTAAAGTCTTATACAATATTTAAAAATGCATTATACGTTATATGTCATCATAAAAAAATTCAATCCATAATTTTAGAAATCAACAATCTTCCTAGCAACTTGACAAATCCTTTAATTACATAAAATCTAATCGTGATTGTAGCCGATTAGTTCAAATTGGTGTTATATAATTCATAATTGCATCGCAGAAATGCAATTAGTAATTGAATCATAAATAACAACGATTGCCTTGGTCTCACAACGTTGAGGTTGCTACGTAATACGCGCGTATTGGGTTTAAACTAGTTAATGATTACAGCGCCCCAACGGTGAAAAACGTAATATACTTCCTACGATTCTCGAAATAATCGATATGACTCACGATCGATTTTTAAACGGGAAAAATGGCGAAAGGAAGCTCACCTCGTCTGTAAAAAAGAAAGTATTATCCAGAAAGAAATGCCATCCAGAAGTTCTCAGGTAAAAATCAATACTTGTTAGATTTGTGTTTGTGTTTTAGATTTTTAAGATAAAACATACATTTTTTGCTTCAACTCAAGATAAAGTTTAACCAAATAATTATTACATATAATTCTCAACAATTAAAGAAATAATAGCATATAAACGTTTAAATAGAATATACTATGCTAAAAGTTATTTATAATTTTATAGCAAAATTTAATTTCAATTCTAACCAGTAAATATTGTAACCTTGTACTTGAGCAACTCATTGTTACATATATATACATGTATTTTATTACATGCCTTTACACATACATTTCTATTATAACATTTTCTGCTTATTTATTGATTCTTTTTTAAGAATGTCTCGTCAATTTTGTGTATTTGATTTAGACCACAGTCTTTTATTTTTTATTCCAAGGTTGTCATTTCGTGCGAAACGCGCGATTGCAGCGCTCCAACGGTGAGATACGCAATGTACTCTGCACGATTCTCGAACATATCGATATTTCTCACGGGATCGATTTTTAAACGGGAAGAATGGCGGAAGGAAGCACACTTCGTCTGTGAAAAAGAAAGTATTATTCAGAAAAATTATCCAGAAGTTCTCAGGTAAAAATTTAAATCAATAGTTGTTAGATTTGAGTTTGTGTTGTTTTGAATTTTTAACATAAAACAAGTATTTTTGGCTTCAACTAAAGGTAAGATTTAACTAAATAATTATTACATATAATTTACAATAATAATGGTATATAAGCGTTTAAATAGAATATACTGCTAAAAAGTTATTTATAATTTTATATCATAATTTAATTTCAATTCTGACCAGTACAAATATTGCAACTTTGTAATTAACTACATTGTTTTATATATATACATATTCTATTATATACTTTTATACATACACTTCTATTATAATATTTCCTACTTATTTGTTGATTTTTTAACTTCATACTGCGTAATTTTATTTAATTCTAAACTGAACTGTAGGTTGCGTAGTTCTTAGCTTGATATCGTTTTACAAACATTAAAGTTTATTGTTTATCATTTTACAACTTAGCCTGATAACGTTTTACAAACTTTAACGTTCTCGATTCGGCAA